GGTCTTTTCTTGGACTGCTTCCTTCTCGAATATTTTTTCAAACAGATTTCAATAGACTAAGCGTATTTTGAGATCTAACCTTTCGATTTCCACGGTAAAATAAGATACTTGAAGCGGATATTCTCATCTATCTTGTGAGTAAATCTGGGTTCGATCCAACGGTGGAAAGATCTCCATTTGAGGCAAAACAAATACATGTTTTCCTCTTTTTTTTTGGTTCAAAACGCTCTAGTTTCCTACAAGGACACTAAAATCCACAAAAATACTAAAAACGGCAATGAAATACCAAAACCAGTTTGTTTTTTTTTTTGTTAAAACCTAATAAAAACACGTAAAAAATAGTAAAATATGACATATATCAGGTTATATCATGTAAAATTTGACTTTGGCTAAAGGCTTTGAGTCTCGCATATGGTTTTTAAGCATATGTGTATATATGATATGAAAGAGTATGTAAAAGTATCATGTGAGTAATCAAAATGATATTAGTCTTGTCCTGCTTAACACAACTTGAGGTTATGTTTCAAGCTTGAAAAGCTGAGAATCATGGTCTCGAGGTTAGGCATCGCAATAGAACGATTAAGAAAGTTACATTTGTTCTATGTGACCTCTAGTGGTCTATTGCGATCACCTTACATAGCACTTTCAGGCCGCATTATTGTTCCTGAACGGTTTGAAGGTGCTATAAGAAGACTACAACCTTAGTGTTATTAATACCCGTTTTTCATGTATTGTTAAGTGGAAAATCAATGGATCTCTCTAGGCGTGTGAAGAAAATTGTTAATCGTTTGTCGAGTTTAGAAGAAACAATGAATTTTTGCCTCAGTCTGTAATCGAAAGAAGAAGAACCACTTGCCACTAATAAGTGTTCTACCTTAGTGATGTATTCGTATTCTAACATCCTTAGCATGCGTTCATCAGTGTTTTTAAAGTTATTTGACGTACATTTTGTATATTTTTTGGCAATTCAAGTTCCATTTAGTTTAGATTGAGTTTTATAGACCTTGGCCTCATATGATGCATTTGCATTATACTTTTAGTCTTTTTCATGTACATTGGATGCCAAGGAGAAAAAGGAGCCAAGATAGATAAGAGGAACACCAAAAAGAGTGAAGAAATGACAAGTTCTCAAACATGTTGGTTGGATCGATCATCCCACCTAGAAATGGTTGATATGACGTGCACCAGACCGACTACTACGTACCAAATCAACACGCCCTCTCCAACATGGGTTTATGAGAGCTGTACAACCCTGACTGGTATATGCTGGATTGACCGGGCCCCTTGGGATGGATCGATCAGTGCTATACAGAAGGCATGTGAATCTAATTGCCTTTTGGTTCCA